ATGAAATGTATACATGTCAGCTTGCATTGATGCTGCAAGGTACCCTTGCATGCGGCAAGCGAGCGTTCGGTAACACTTGCATCGCCCAGCTTCGCTCTAAGCATGCCTAGAAGATGTCTCTTGCTCTCTGAAGCACGACAGCTTGCATTGATGCTGCAAGGTACCATACTGAGCTGCCAAACTGGTAGAAAGGTATAAGATGCAGATTTTAGATGTGCGACGGCATGCTACTGCGATCCCTGGCCCAAGCAAGCACCTACAGACGTTAGGATTACCCCAAGATACTGTGTAAACCACGGTGCACCCTGTATATGCTAACAGTGTCTGCCGCCATCGACCTTGGCGGCAACATGCGGTAGAAAGTCAACAATAAACTATGATCATCTATTCAATTGTGACCAGTGCGATCTTTTAGGAGATGCCTGGTCATTTTGTTGGCGTGCAACATATTTCCATACCATTTCTCAGTTCTGACTCCCTCTATTGCCACCCTGTCCCAGTATGTAAGACCGCATCATTAATTGCCGTTTGGGAGCATACATTGCTGCTCTGTTAGCCTTAAAATGGTAATTCACTTTCGATATTTTATTTAACTAGAATTTCAAAGTAAACTTAGTGGACAGCACAGTCAGAAAAAAACCTCAAGGACTTCATATATAGTTAAAGTATTCACCCACGCGTAAAAAATTCAGGAAATCCAGCGTGTCGATCGCGTTTACTGCCAATAATTTAGTACTGTATCTTTCATAGTATTGATAACTGAAAAAACAATTTTATATTTGTTGAACAACAAGGCGAAGTGATGGCGAACTAGCGCTCGAGTACCAGCAGGAAACGTGATAAAAACTTCATCAACTGCTTGTCAACAACTGCTGTCTAATTCATAATTTAGGTTTCAGCTAATGACCCTGAACACTCGCTCAGTTACAGCGACAATTACGCTTTCGCTTGCCGTCGAACACGATAACCGCGCAGAAAAGAAACTGCACTGCAGACCGCGTAATTTCTCTCAAAGCGGATGAATGAAGCGCCATCACCAAATTCGTGGATCCCGCTTACGTATTGCCTACATTGGCGACATAATGCACACAAAGAACTTGTTGCTACTGTTGAGCGCGGCTGTGTGTGGCGGTTCTTATTCTCCTCCGGCTGTCGAAAAGGTCCGACATGTGTGGTACGTTTCCTAACTTTCATAAACAAGCGCGATGTCGTTCAAATAATCGTCTACTCGTGATTCATCGTTCCAAAATTCACTAAAGGACTATTTCTGGATCGATTTGTGATTTTGTCGTTTAGGGTATCCGTTGAAGCGATGGTTGAAGTGGGCTGTAATACAGCCGCTGTATATCATAATAGCAACTGCATTGCCCACACTCTGTAAGGGGCAGATGCAAGCTGTGACACCCAGACTCTGGACTCCACTAGAGTCCATCGACTCCGGGGCTCCTGTCGGAGACGGACCGTGTCACGGTGGCCAGTGAAGGTGCCGGCTAGATGTGTAG